AGCAGGAACCCCAGAAAGGCCTGCAGAAATCTTCCTGAAAATTCATCACAGAAATCTTTTGGAGAATGGAGTCAGGTTTTATCCATCATCTCTTTCTTTCTTTTTTTTTTCTTCCTTTTTTTTTTTTTTTTTTTCCTAGTGCAAGATTCTACTTCGGTACCACTGCCCACCTTCCTGGTGGCTGGAGGAAGCCTGGCCTTCGGGACGCTCCTCTGTATTGGCATTGTCCTGAGGTGAGATGGGCCCGGGGGGTGGTCCTGTGGTGTTCTCATGTTTCTGACCTAGCTCTGCCAGGGCTAGGATGCTGGCAATGGGTTGGAGAGCCATGAATGGATTCAAGGTATATTTTAGAGGTAGAATTGACAAGATTTGATGACAGCTCAGAAGAGAAGAATGGAAGAGAGGGAGGAGTCAAGTCTGACCCTCAAGTTTCTGGCTTAAGCAGTTGGGCAGATGGTGGATGTCTATGAAGAATGGAAAACACTGGAGGTAGAACAACTGAGTGAAAAGCGACGATTACATGTTGGCGCCACTGGGGAAACCCCAAGTGAACAAGTTTTGGAGGTAATTCAGATCATTGGCAGCAGGCAGATGGTAGTTGGGGCCATGGGAGAGGATGGGGCCAACAGCGTAACCTGTGGAATACAGTTGAAAAATTGTATAGAGGAGGCGATGAGAAAGGGGCTGAGGAGTGGCCTGACAGGGAGGAGGAGCAGCAGGAAAACCTGGCTGTGAACACCAGAGGGAGAAGTGTGTGTTAGACACTGAAGAAACCCCTTACTTAGGCTCTGGGGTTGCGGTACGAATATGACCCTCCCTCTCCTCCAAGAGCCACGTACTAAAATCAGTAAAACACCACGAGAGAAACACCACACCAGGGGTATGTGCACAGGTAACTCTGAAGTGCCTAGCTAGACATTCTTGGGAATATTCCATGTCTCCAAATAAGCAGACCTAGTGGATTACCTTTAAATGCCCTGTCCTAGTGCCCTCATCCAGTCATGGTGAGGAAACACCACAGGTGAGGGCTCGGTTGGCGCCCTGGTCACTGTAACACCCATGCCCATTTCATCCGAGTCTCTCTCTCCATTCAGTCATTGGTTTTGTCATTCGTTCCCAAGCTTGCGGAGAGATCACGTAACAGCGCTCCCAATGAATGGGCAATAAAGAAAACTTGCTATGTTCATGATTTTACTGCAGGAACTGGTAATTTTGCATATGCTGAAGCCCTAAAGGAAATCAGGCTTGGCTCTGGTTTTGGATGGTGGTTCATTACAATAATATAAGTAGAGGAGAAACTTCACTGTGTTTTTCCTGTCTCTTCCCTTGTGTGTAACTTTCAAGGACTCTACCTGGTGGTTGTGAGAGGTGGTCTTTGAGGGTGCTTGGGAAGGAGGGGTAAGACCTTGGCAGAGAGCTTTTCCACATGTTACAGCTCATTGGATTCTCACAGTGACCCTGAAATAGCTCGCCCACCGAGGTGGTCTGGGTTGGAAGATGACAACTCAAGCTGTGTTCGGGTTGTTTTGCTTTGATTTTCCAATGAAATAGTGAGCAAGCTGTCCAAAGGGTGTGCAGACGATAAGCTTCCTCAAGAGTGCAGGTAACTCCTTGGAGGAACCAAGAACTCACTGTCTTTTATACCTTTGGGTCAGAGAGGGGCCATGGCAACTTTCCGAGGCCTTCCTACTGCCTCCTAAGGGATCCCTGGCCTCACCTCAGACACATACTTCTGTGTTCTCTTTCTATTTCTATATCATTAGGGCTTCAAAAGGCCTTTCTTATAACCTACCACAGACCCTATAGAGTAAATATCGTGATTTTCACTTGACAGATGAGGAAATGAAAGCTGAAAGAGGTGGAGTGATTACAGCTAGTAAGGATATAAGGCCAAGATTCAAACCCAAAGCTTGTGCTTTTTGGATAGGGCCTTACAGGTCATTTAGTCAAACTCTTGAATTTTACAAGTGAGAAAACAGCCCTGAAAGGTAAGATGACTTGCCCAAGGACACACAACTTATTAATAGCAGAGATAGGCCTAGAACTTGTGTCCGGAGAGTCCCTGCACACTGCACCAGCCTGCTGTCAGCTAAGAGGTGGGCCCAGTTGGTCCTATCAGTCCAGTGTTGGCCGGTGGCCCCGCTAACAAGCAGCGCCATCTTGGTGTGCTGTTAACCCCTAAGAGAGAAGCGTTAGGCTGGGAATTGGCCACAGCGCTCATCACAGACTTAGTTTGCTAATGTGCTGATGGTGCTTGTACACTGGCTGGTTGCTACACAACCAGAGTCCCCGAAGGCACAGTGCCTTGTGCAGAGAACATAGCAGTAATTTATTTCCTAGCCTGGTGAGTTTCCATTTTCTCTCATATAAGGCAAATTTATTTGGAAAGAGGCCAGTTATTTCAAGTAATGAAAAACTCCTACTCCCAAAGTCCCCCGTGTCAAGACAAGAGTATAAATGTAGAGATGATGTGGGAGCCTGGGGTGCCAAAATGGTTGGGCCACTGTACAGTTGGGGTGGCCAGATTACAGTGGACAGAATGAGAGGCAGGTGGAGGAAGTAAAGCCCGCCCATCTGTGACACCATCTTTTTATTTTTAGTACATTTATTTTGTGTCTTAAGCAAAGCATAGTATTTTCCTAAATATTTTTCCAGTAACATCAGTGACAATTTTTTAAAATTTAAATGTGCTGTTGAAAAAGGTGTGCCATCTTCTTTTTTTTTTATATATATATATATATTTATTTATTTGGTTGTACCGGGTCTTAGTTGCGGCATGTGGGACCCAGCTCCCTGACCAGGGATGGAACCCAGGCCCCCTGCACCGGGAGCACGGAGTCTCAACCACTGGACCACCAGGGAAATCCTGATTGTGTATCTTTTGCGGTACGCGGGTCTCTCACTGTTGTGGCCTCTCCCTCCGTGGAGCACAGGCTCCGGACACGCAGGCTCAGCGGCCATGGCTCACGGGCTCAGCTGCTCCGCGGCATGTGGGATCTTCCCGGACCGGGGCATGAACCTGCGTCCCCTGCATCGGCAGGCAGACTCTCAACCACTGCGCCACCAGGGAAGCCCGTGCCATCTTCTTAAGTGGATGTTATAACTTACAGGGGCCAATTCTCCCCACCCTACTCCCTGTGCCCCACTGCTTCTCTCTCTTTATTTTATGCTATCAGGCACTGAGAAAATAGGATTCTCATAGCAGAGAATAGCTTTTCTGCACATTTATCTAGAATGGCTAACGCTATTAGGTGAGGACTTCCTATATGTATGCCTATGATTTAAATCATTTTGTACTGAATGTATTGTCTCATTTCAATTTTTTTTTTTTTTGCCCGCACCGCGGGGCATGCGGGATCTCAGTTCTGTGCCCCCTGCAGTGGAAGCGCAGTCTTAACCACTGGACCACCAGGGAAGTCCCTCATTTCAATATTTTAAAATCACACTCTCCCACTTCTATGGTTAAGGGGCATTATAAGTGGTTTTTTTTTTTTTTTTTTTTTTTTGTTGTGGCCTCTCCCATTGTGGAGCACAGGCTCCGGACGCGCAGGCTCAGCGGCCATGGCTCACGGGACCAGCCACTCCGCGGCATGTGGGATCTTCCCGGACCGGGGCACGAACCCCTGTCCCCTGCATCGGCAGGTGGACTCTCAACCACTGTGCCACCAGAGAAGCCCTATAAGTGTTTTTTAAAAATTTCTTTTAGCTGCAGAACCTTTTCTTTAAGCAAAACATTACGAAGCCCAAGTATGTAAAATAGGTAAAAGGTGGCGGCTGAGGTGCAAATGAAGTCTGACAGCTCAGCTCTTTGTTCCTTCTACCCGCCCTGCACCCTCTCCAGCCCCCAGGCCCTGCTCAGACCCCTGCTCAGGGCAGGGCAGTGCCAAGTGTGGATATACCCCAGGTCCTGGGGTTTCAAAGGCCCCTCTGAGCTTAGTGATCTGCCAAAAAATCTCATTCGCGCCTCAAAATTTTTCAAAAGAAGGAAGGCTCATCTTTCTCAGTTACCCATCCAATTGCTTTGGAAAAAAACTGAGGACAGAGACTGCTTTCCATATTGGTTAGGTAACATCAATAGAGACTTTAAAAAAATCGTGATACATGATTACTAAAAATTGGTAATTTGCTAAATACTGACAAATAGGAAGAAGGGAGAAAAATGACACATTATGCAAAGACAGCCACTGTTAATTTTTAAAATGTAAATGTGATCAAAGTCTAACAAACATATAGGAAAGTGCAGATGTCATAAGTGTACAGTGCCATGAATTTCCACGAAGTGAAGATACCCATGCGATTGACACCCAGCTCGTGAACACTTTATATTTAGATGAATTTCCTCTGAGTCTTTTTCCTCTGCATAGTTTCTTGTTTGTTTTTATGTAGCCATGATTATTCTGTCTCTACAGCTCTGAATCCCGCCTTTTAAATTTAGTATCAGTTATATAACATAAGCACTTCTTCCCATTATTACAAATTCTTTGTAAACCTCAGTTTCATCACTCCTCCATTAGGTGGCTATAATACCCAAGATCACTTAACCAACCTCCTATTATTGGGCATTTGGGTTGTTGTTTTGCTTTTGTAAATAACACTGTGTCGAACATCTTTGTGCATAAAGCTTTTCCCGTAGCTATGCCCTTTCCTGAGGGTATATTCCCAGAAGTGGAATTCTTGGGTCAGAGGATCTGAATATTTTGAAATCCAGAGCATAATGACTCTATCCTCAGTTCTCTCATGAGGGAGAAGGATTCCACCCAGGGACCCAGCATAGCTCCAGTAAGCACCCCTGCTGTGTCCCCTTCCTGTGCAGTGCCTGAATGGCGAAGCCTAAGTCACATTCTGCAGATTGTTTATTCCATTTGGATAACAGGCTAAGAGCCAATGGCAGATTTGGAGCCAACTATCAATTATTTATCATAACAAGGACAGGAGTAGCCTGTTGATATAAAAAGAAACCTAAGGAAAATCCCCAAACCTTGTTTTTGACATTGGTTTCCCCTCTTCCCTCCCAGCCCTTCCTGGAGTAGCTGACATTTGGTAGAACTGAGGGAGACCACCTTGCTCCCACTTTGAGGTCAGTGGGCAATAAGTTAATAGGCGACAAAGTGGGAAGCAGGAGGGGGAGAAGAGCTGCCCCACCCGACAGAAGGGCCCCTTCAGGGAGGAGACCTGACTGTACCTTTGAAGATTGCTATCACCATCTCATCTTTCTCTGGGCTCTCAAGTGACTTTTCTCAGTTACTGAGTCCTGGCTTTGGGCCCAGAATGGAGCAGGGTGAACGAAGCTATGATCAGAGAGATGTCTATCTCCTTCCTGTTTAACATTGACTTTCCTGTCAGATGAGTCACTTGTGCCCAAGTGGTGCCCACGGCCGAGTCTGTGAGAACGTGCCAGCATGGTGTGAGGGGACCCAGAGGTGTAAGGAGAATTGGGGACGCTGGGAATATTGGAAGCAAGAGGAGCAGGAGGGCTGCTGAGGGAGCAGTACAGCCTTTTTCCTGCCATTAAAGTCAGCTGCCAATTCTCCACCTCTAGCCAGTGTTAATTTGACTGAGGGGCCCCTCTGGGTAGCCTCTGGAGCAGGACAAACTAAATTCTCGGTGCTATAAAGGGGCACTCAAAGCCACACTCTCAAAGCCTCAGTTTCCCCATTGGTAAACTGGACCCACAACACATACCTATTCTCTTGGGGTATTTTATTTATTTATTTATTTTTGGCTGCGTTGGTCTTTGTTGCTGTGCGCGGGCTTTCTCTAGTTGCGGCGAGCGGGGACTACTCTTTGATGCGGTGCGCAGGCTTGTCATTGTGCTGGCTTCCCTTGTTGCGGGGCATGGGCTCTAGGCATGTGGACTTCAGTAGTTGTGGCACGTGGGCTCAGTAGTTGTGGCTTGCGGGCTGCAGAGCGCAGGCTCAGTAGTTGTGGCACACAGGCTTAGTTGCTCCACGGTATGTGGGATCTACCTGGACCAGGGCTTGAACCCGTGTCCCCTGAATTGGCAAGCGGATGCTTAACCACTGCACCACCAGGGAAGCCCTCTTGGGATATTTTTGATGACTCTTCAGAGGATTGTGTTAACTCCTGGTAACAATAAACAGCCAATGAATAAATAGTTATCGCTTCTTGGAGCTGAAACCCAGGCGTGCCAGGCCACCAGGGCAGCCAGCTGTTGGTGTTTTTCTCGCGGGTTTATCACAGAGGGAACTCAACATTTGCGTGGTTTGTCTTTGTGTGTCTGTGTGAAGGTTCAAGAAGACGGGGAAGCTGCAGGCTCTGAAAGAAGGCAAGACGAGCGTGCACCCGCCGTATTCTCTGGGACAGCTGGTCCCTGAGAGGCCCAAGCCCACCCCAGTGCTTGTACCCCTCATCTCCCCGCCGGTGTCCCCCAGCAGCCTTGGGTCTGACAACACCTTGAGGACTAGCCGACCGGATGCCAGTGGCCCTCGGAGACCTTATGACGTCAGCAACGGAGACTACTTCTTTCCCAGATAGCTGGCTGGCTGGGTGGCACCTGGCAGCCTGGGGTGTCAGGCCCCCTGGACTGTGTGGATGCTGAAGCACAAACCGGCTTAGCAAAAGACGCTCCTCACTGCCATGCCAGCTCGTCTCGGGTGCTCGGGGCCTCTGGCTTCACCTCTACAGAAGGGCCTCGCAGAAAGTTCTGTGCTGGGTGAAAAAAGCGTTTGCTGCGTCTGTTCAGAAGGAAGAGGCGGTTGAGTTTTTGAACCACTCTCCCCCCCGGTGCCCTGCTTACAGGGCTTAGAGTGAACTCAGGCCCCCGTGAAGAGAGGGGTGTCAAGACTCTACCGGACACTCAGGTGGGCAGAGCCGGGTGGCTGCACGGGCCTCAGACTCCCCACCCCCCCCACCCCCGGGCTTGGTGTGGACAAGTTGCTGGCCGCCCGCGCACCCCGACCCACCTCCAGAAGCTGCACCCTCGGGCGGGTGGGATGAATGTCCAGCCAAAGACTCCCCGAGTCGCTTATCTCTTGGCTCACCGCACAGTTTCATCTTCTAGCTTCTTGAAGCCCAAGTGCCTTCTCAATTCAGTTGTTCTAGGCCTGAGATTGGCTTTTCTTAAACCACCGTGGCTGGGGGAAAGTCTCACCTGCTTTTCTTCACTGAACAGCTGAGAGGGGGGCGATAGTATCTCAGGGCCTGATGGTTTGAAATGGAATTATAATCAGTTCCTCATTAGCATTTTTCTAAATGTGAATGATAGTCCTAGGCACTTGCTGAATCCAGAAGCAACTGCACTGGCTCGATTTCCCTTTTTGGATCCCAGGACTTCAGGAAAGAAGCCTCGGGGAAGGAGGGGAGTGGTGGGGACAGGGTCTCCATGCTTGTCTGTCATAGCATTGCTGAGGGGGACAGCGGCCTCTGCAAACCACCATTCTCCATTCTCCCCCTCCCCTGGCCCTCCAAAATGAGAACTGGCATTAGGGAGGGCTTCTGCCAGTGGTGAAATCAAAGCTGCCTTATTCCAGCTTTGTTTATTTTGGTTTCAGCTGAGCCTGAGTAACCAGGGAAGGTAATATTTATGCAAAAAGACAAAAGAACCCGGCAAGAATGGATTTTAATTTGGTTTTTAAAAAACTGCTGACTCTTTTATCTTCAGAGGGTGGAAGATCCAGTATTAGCTGAGTGTCAGTATAGAAATAATGGGGGAAAAGCACAATAGCTTTGTTTAGCACAAAACTGAGTCAAGTGGAAAAGGAGAAAAGGAGATTTCGCCCTATTAGAGAAGAGACTCTGGTTTCATTCTAAATTTTGTTTTTGCCTTAAAAAGTGAAAAAAAAAAGTCTGCCTCTTCTCTAATTTAGCGGAAAAGCAGCTTGTTACTACTCCCCCAGGCGGCTGAGAAGGAAATGGTGTCCAGCTCCGTGTCACAGTGCTGGGAAGCAAGCCTCCCACGATTACCCAGCAGATCAGCTGAAAATCCCCACCCCTGAAAGCCATGAGCCCTTGGGTATCAGAGGAGGTTCATTAAAAAAAAAATACCCTAAACTTGGTGCCTTCCTCTCTTTAGTTAGTTCCTTGAATGTGATTCAGTTCAGCTAGTATTGAAGCACCAAGTAAATGTCTAGCTGTGACACTGCACTAACCACTTCAGTTCACTTTTCTGTCTGGGCTTTGAAAATTCAGTGATGTTAGTGGTTACCCAAACAAGCACCCTCAAGTATTCTGGGATGTCCCAGAATGAAGCTGTGATTAAAATCAGTCGTGTAACCACCACTAAAAATTTACCAGACCACAAAACTTTTCTAGTAGTCTCCCCTTTTAGAAAAATAACCACCAGCACCAGATAGGTGGGGAAAGGATGGAAATGACCATGTTTTATTTACCGTTTGCCAGGTTCAAACTGTTATGATGTTGGACTACGCAGTGATTTTCATTGCTGGCTTTGGCTGTAAATTTCAGACCCTGTTGCTGCTTTTGGCAACTAATCTTAACTTGACAAAAGTGAGGCAGGTGGTTTTGTTTTGTTTTGTTTTTCTCTAAATTTTCCTTGACTGAGAACAGCAAAAATGCTGTTAAAGGGAAATATAAAAAATGAGAATCTGCATGAGATAGGGTGATTCTGTGCCCACGGTTCTTTAACTCTTGACAAAGTTTTACCCACGTGTAATATTACCAGAGCCAGGCAGAGCGGTGCTAGTGGAAGATGTGAAATCCAGATAGCTCATGATTGCTGAGAGCTAGGCAGCTTTGATCTCTAAATTGTTATTGCTTTCATTATTATTGGAACGGAACTGCGTTTTTTTTGTTTTTTAATTGAAGAGGGGTTTTTTTCCCTTTATTTTTTTATAAGCTAGTATAGATGAAGGAAAAATATTTGTCTTCTCTGGGTCGTAGGCCTTGCTCAGTGTACACAGGTATACACCCTAAGCTTTCTCTGTCCTTGAATCTGTGGTCAGTGAATGTGTGTTTCAATCCACAGGTCATTCTTACCTGTGTTTCTGCAGCACACGTGCTGCCTTTTATCCTCAACAGTGATGCTACTCACCTAATATCTGTAGCAATCTGCTACACAGCCAGATGTGAAATGTTAGCACAGTGACAATTTTTGTTAAAGATGGGCAACTTATCCTGCTGGGTGGGAAAAGTTGAAAATACGCTGGATCAAGGTCTCAATTAAAGTGGTCATTAATTTTTGTAGCATTAATGAAAAAAAAAAAGGTCGAGGAGGTAGCATTGAATGTGTCTACAAAGCTCTTGGTGACTCTGAGAGCTCTTTGCCCTGAGGGAGCCTGGCCCTTGCAGTTTGTTGTCTAGGCTCTTGGTTCACCCCGAGTGTCCGCCATTTCCCAGCTGCCCCCAAGGGAAGGAAACACCGTTACAAGGGGTGCAATCTGATGCTGGAATGGACTGGGAGCCCACCCGGTGGTGAACAGAGCTGAGCAGGGCAGGCTGGGAGTGGTCATGGTTTGTGGGTTTCCTGCAGAATGTTCAGGAATGTCTTGCCTGGCTGCTTTAGTGCTGAGCTATATCATCACTTCATCAAAGGCACTTAAGATTGACCCAGTCGGGGAGGAGTTGGTGAGAAATTTATCTTAATTTGGAGAAGCAGGGGCAACTGGTGGTCCTTGGGAGCATGAGCCTGGATCCCAGCCTTCCATGCAGCAGTTGGCAGTGGGGCTGTTGCTGAAAGGGAGCCCAGCTGGCTCAGCTTCTGTGCCAGACACTCCTGAGCATCCCCGAAAGGTCCTTCCAGCATCGTGTCCTTGGTGTAGCCTGGCCCCAGCGCCAGTGAGTTTCTATGGCAACCTTAATGATTATTAAGGAACATTGTCAGTTGTATGAACATATGCTCAAATGCAGATCTACTTTAGAAGGAAAGGATTGGGACAGCATGTAGCAAGGCTGTTAATTAATAGAGAAACCATATTTGGATGGAGATCACACATCCATTAAATAGAATACCTCAACTTTACATTGTTTTTTTTCTGGAGACAAATAATAGTTTTAAGTTTTTGTTTTTATTTTTTTACTTAATTATCTGAAAACAAATACCAAAGGCTGATGCTGTCTGTATATGGGGCAAAGGGTCAGTATGATGTTTTTCAACGTTTTCTCTTTTTACCAGCTACTTTGCATTTAAAGTGAAAATTGTAAATGTTTGAAATAAATAAGTTCTAAAACTATGCTTGAGAGGTAATTTATGCTTTGGCACCTGGGTCATTTCAAGGAAAGACTTGAATGATTATGGGTGAAAGGGGTAAGGAAAGATGGGTTTAAAATTAAGGAGGACCGTTTTGGGGTGAGCTTCTCCTTAATGCAGGATTAAATTACCTCTGGGGAAAAAAATCAGGTAAGTTTAAGAAATAAATAGCAATCTCTCAAAGACTTTAATGATGAAAGTATTTCCCCAAATGAGCCCTGGGGTTTCTGGAAGGGGCGTGGTTGCTTCTGCCATGTTTACATCATTATCAGGTGATGGACCTGTGGGGAAGGAAAAGGAAGGGCCATTATTCATCAGAAGACTGTTTATTGGGCAAGGGGGTGTTAACAGAATCACAAAGGCAACCTTGTACTTCTTGATCATCAGATAGGCTGCATCTGTCCCCTATTGAAAAGGGTCCTCAATAGGAAAAACTTGGGACACAGCCATCCCAATCTTCCAAACAGAGGAAAGTCATCGTGTGGATGCTCTGTGGATAAGAGTTGCTGTGTAAACAGTTCAGGGCTGGGGAGGAGGAAACTGCATGGAAACCTGGAAATTGTGTAACTCAGACCAAAAGCTGAAGTGTGAGGCCCTGCTGTGTGACCCCACCCCACCCCGGCCGCCTGGGCAATCAGAGGAAAGCCTCACGACCACACCTACAGGGCCCATCGACTCCTTGAGGATGCCACTGTCTCATCTGAGGTTGGTCCCTGTCTTGCAGAAAGCGACACAGGAAACAGATGTCCCTATGGTGGCTTGGCTGTGTGGGCCCCACGGAGGGTGCAGGAGTGGGTGTAAGGGGCAGGAAATGGGAGAGGGTGCCTCCCTCTTCCCCACGGTGTCACTGTTAGGATGACATGCTTACGATGCTCTTTCCAGAAGAATTTGGGGGAGCAGATGGTGAATCTTGAAGAGGATGGCAAGGAACACTCAATTCCTGGAACAGCCCCTAAGGAAAGCGTTTTCCTTGTTTATTAATGCATAAGGAGACCAAACCTTTCTCCATGTCTGTGACAAGCACAGGCCAGAGGCAGGGAATTGTGTGCCTTCCTGCAGTAGCAGAAGTGTGCCATTGAAGGGCCTTAAACTGGTCCATGCAGTGTTCAAGTGCTGGGCTGGGGGCACATTAGCCCCTCCGGCAGAGTGGTGACCAGGTGGGCTGCCTGAGTGGCCTGTCGCTTTAAACAATCCTGAGCACGAGAGCGAGCCCTGCACTATGCTTCAAATACTGCCAACCCCTCCTTTCTCTGTGAAAGTTCTGTCTTGTTGCTGATGCGTGTTACTTAAAAACAACAAAACGGCGTCAGCCACGTCTTATTTCATACGA